ATGTTGGGGCCTCCGTGCCTGGTGACCTGGGAGGTGTCGTCCGTTGCTTTGCAGCTCACCGTGCCCAGAGCAGCTGTGCGTGGCTTTGAACTTCAGTTGTCCAAAACCTTTCGTAGCTGGCTAGAGTTGTCTTCGGCTTTTCCCTTTCTACAGTGTTTGGTTCGTTTTCAGTTCCAGTCTCCTTTGTCTGAGCTGGCACCAGTATGGCTCTGCTCCATGCAATGAGTGCATCGTAGGGGTCCAAACTGGAGGTGCTTTCCTGTCCTAACATCCCCTCCTGCTGCTTCCATGTTTGGCAACATGGCTTGTCCCAGAGCAAATGGAGAGGTTCTGCTTTTTTCCTTAATGCAGCTTTTAATATTTGCTTTAACCCTCTCGAGCGTAGAGAGCCCTGGGCAGGACTTACGGCAAACTTGATAACCACAGTTCAGGGTGGGGTTGGGGTAATGGCACCAGCAATGTCTCTGTACCCCTTTGTAAAGCTCCCAGCACCAAGTCCCTGCTTTGTGGAGAGCCCACCTGCGCTGATGTTCCTCAGACTTGCACTGCCTCCCACTTAGCTTCTGGATGGAGTTTGTCGTAGGATTTGACCTTTAAAGCCCCATGTGGTTTGGAATGGGACTATCTGAAACGACCTGTCTGTGTGACAGCAATGCAGTTTGAGCAGTCATCTGGCTTTAGACAGAGCAGGGAGAGCTGGTGGGAGGACTTCTTGGGTGAGAACCCCTCTTCCTGAGAACTTCTCCTCCTGGTTGTTCAGACGGCCCAGATTTAACTTTTATGGCACATGGCAAAGCTCAAGAAAGGAGAGCACAGTGGGTTGAAGGATGGAGTGGGTAGGGCATGTCTATGAATCTGTGGGGTTCCTCATAGCCTGTCTGGAGTTTAGTAGTTAGACTTTTTTCTCAGACCTTGTATAAATTATTGTGAAACTTCCGGACCCACTGTGGGAGTGTTTTTTAAACAAATCAAAAGAAACTAAAAGCAATGGAGCGGAGTCTTGGGTCTTGCCTACACTACAGAACGTTGCCGTGTTGGGACAAGATTATGAACAGTCGAGTTTGCTGACGCAGGGCTGACCGCTAGCGAAGCGTCGGGGTTAGATCGTGGTGAGCATTGTCAGCTAACTCAGTTGGTCAGTTGCTTTCAAACTCGAATGCTCTGTAGTGTGGATGGGTCTAGATGGCCAAAGCAGGGCTGGGGTTTGGATGTGATGTTGAGGTGGAGGGGGGTGTATGAACAGGGAGGCAAAGCGTGGCTTCTCAACATCTTGCATGCAGTATTTTGGTGATGAATCGTTGCATTAGCTAATGCTTCAATGGGGAGGGCGAGGCTTACAGGTCCTTTGCAAGAAGTGCAGTTTAAGTTGGGGCCTTAGAGGGTGGTCGCATAATGGGGCTGGGTTAGCGGAGGTGTTCCAGCCCTAGGAAGTGGAGATGGTGCAGGAGGACATGCAAATGGAAGGCTGCATCCCTTGGGAGAAGGCAAAGGAGGTTGTCGGGGAAGCAACGTTTGCATGACCTCGACTCTTAGTACAACACAAGTTATTTGGGTGGAGAGGTGAGAAGATGGTCTGGATGTGCTCAGTGGTTGAGCCTGGCTGTTGGGGCAGCATTTTTGCCTAGGGGAGACAAGGTGCCAGGAAGACAGAGAAGGCTTTCTAGGTGGGATACCCTGTTCTCCATCTCCGCTTCCATTTGCACCTTTGCTGCAATCATTCTTGAGCAGCCTCAAAACAATGTCCCTGCTCCTCTCTTGTGGTGTGAAAGCCCTTGATGGAGAAACGTCTCATGATCACCTTTGTGCCCACTCGCCAACGTCATTTGTTTTGTAGCCTGACGCGTGTGTGTACCATGGGACGTTGCCGGTTGGTTCCTAACAGCTAAGCTAAAGGAAGAGCTAATGCTCTGAAAATAGCAGTGGATGTCGTTGCTGTGAGACTCCAAAGCTCTTAAATCTGTCAGGTTCCGAATAAAACCAGAATACCACAGGAGCAAAATGGGGCTTTAAAACTGTGGGGCCAAATGGGGCTGGTGGTAGTAGAGCAATGCAGAAATCCAGCAAGCACAGGCTGCATGAGCAATGGAGATCTTCCAGTGCATAGATTCCACGGTGGTAGGCACCTTTATAGACCCCTGAAAATCTTTGTGGTGAAAGGTTTGTAGCTTTAAGTGCTTGGTGTCTTCTGACCCTTTTTCTCTAGGGCTGCCTGCGTCTCATGCTGAGCTGTCTGTAGGGAGGCTTAATGCGTAGCTCTGCACTCCCAGATCGGTAAGCCGCCACTCTAACAGTACAGGAGTCCGGTCCTTGGGGGACACAGCCGTTTGCACAGCAGAACTGTATTCTGGTCTGCTTTGTGCTTGCTGAGCACCACGGTGGCTGCTCTCCTTTAGTTTGAAAAGGCAGGCGCTTTCTTTTAAAATCCTGTTGGGATGTAAGGAATAAACCCTGCCTTTGGGTAATCGGATTCCCTGCCAAAGCTGGCTCTCCTCAACTAGTGTTACTGCTTATAACTAGATGTCAGCTTGCACGGTGTTCGTCAATCCCTCTAACAGAACGGACGGATTCTGCCTTAGCCTGTCCGATTGTAAAGGGGCCACATTCTACATGCATCTTGGAGCCATAAGTTAAGTAGCATCTCCTTGTGTTACTTGGACACTATCCAGTCTGACCCTCTAGAAGCCCCTTACTTGTGTTCAGTTCTCGCTGCTCCTTCCCAACCCAACCTTTTTCTCTCTCTCTCGTGTCCTGGCTGTAATGTCGAATCTAGTTCTTTGCTGCTTGGACCTGGCTAGCTCCCTAGTTCTTTGCCTCAGGAAAGAAAGGTAATGAAGCATGCAGTGACTAGTGCTCATCCAAAGGTGGGTGAGGTTCTTTCAAGTTTCCAAAGGCATCAGCTTTCATTCCCAGCTGAAAGCTCCTTTTTCTCTTGCGACACCCCTACCCCATTTCTGGGGCAGCGGCTCTGTCGGGCACATGGTGCACAATGGGGTGTTGCAGTAGGTATATATTGTGATGCATTACAATAATTGCTAAACCCACAAGCCACGGTGTTCTGATTTGGCGCTCTCATTCTGTCCTTGGAATCCTTGGCTCAATTCAGTGTTACAGGTATGTAAAGCCCACCCTTTCTCTGAGCTCCACTCGGTTTCAAGCAGAAGCAAACCCTATCTACTCTTACGGATGAGCATGGGTGCAGTAACAGAGATTGCTGAAGGGAGGCTATTCCCAAGTGCAAGTTAAGTCAAAGACAAAGAGTGTATGAAAGGCTGCTGTAGATGATAAGTACTGGAATCTAGTCTTGCTGGCACTTCCGCAGATGGAGCAGGGAAATGGGGGATTGTTTGCTCATTAGCAGAGTACAGAAGTACCCTCTACTCTACTCTCAAGTATGTCTTGCTTCAAAATGGTCTGCACCAGATACTCACTCAGTTTGGCAGGCTGGATTGTAGCTTCTTGTCTGTTGCTGTGACGTGGACTATTGCATTCAGGAAAATCTCTGCATCTCCTTTTCTGCCAGTGTTTTGATCCTTCATCGTAGAGTTTAAGGCCCCAAAGGATCACGAGATCATCTCGTCTGACATCCTATATATCACAGGCCACCAACACCACCCAGCAGATGCACACCGAACCGAAACCAGACTCTAGCATTCAGCCCATGTGAAACTAGATTACTATGTGCCTCAAGGAGAGAATAGGAGTGACCCAGGTGCACCAGTGCCCGAGGCACCTGCATTGGCAGAGAAGTGCTAGGAAGGCAGATTAGAGACCTAAATATCTGCAGATTTAATCAAGACTTAGTGTTACCACCTATTGGAGTGAAGTGGAATGAGATTCCCGGGGAGAATGAGGCACGTATTTTAAAGAGAAGCATTGAGTCAAAGAAAGGGGAACATCACTAAAATTGTTCTGCAATTGGTTGATGACTTTTATGCTTAGCTGCTTAGCCAGTCAGCAAATGCTGGAGTGTGATTTAAGCAGTCCTTGCAAGTTCCCTAGCTTGTCTTCAGGTGCCCCTGTGGATAATACTGGATGATGTCTGACTTTTATAGTAATTAGCCTCCATTTCAAGTTGTTTATTACCAATGTTATCAGCCCTGTTCTACAGGACTGGAGTTTGTTAAAGCACTTCTGCCTCGTAGGGCAGAGGTCCCTGAAGAGAGCCCAATATAGTACTTGAGATGTAGGATAGGTCTCGTTGTTTCATTAAATGGTGAAGCATACGGCCTGTGCAACACTGTGTAGCAGAAAATGGGTGGGCATCTAAAGGTGGAAACAAACCGTTCTAAGAGGCAGCTGCTTTTTCTTCCATAGTTGTCTAACAAACTAGGGCAGGCTTGACTGGGAGGTTGGGAGTGGTTTGTTCCCTAAGAGCACACCTCCAAGAATCTGACGTTCAGCTCACCGGGCCAAGGTAGAAGAGAATGTGGAAGATCTTCAGGGCCAGTGTACTATGCCAGCTGTGGCGCTAACTTCTCAGAGATGGAACTTTGGGGGTTAGTCTGAGAGAGCTTGACAAACTGTGTGTGTGTGTGGTTTAGCAAACTATGCAAATAGCCACAGAACTGCAGCAACCCCTGGACCGCAGGCACCTAAAATAGCAGAGTAGTCTCAGCAACTTCGTTAGCATAAAGCTTAGGCGAAGCTGATCAGTCTGTCCATGGTAATGCCGACGCACGTTACAGCCCTTCCTTCCCCCCATTGCCTCTAACTGAAGTGCTGCCGCTTATGTCCGGTAACCTTCTTTTTTGTCATCTTTTTTTTTTACAACATCATCTGATTCCTCTGCTGTGATTTTTTTTTTTCCATGCCAGATGAGATCCTGGTCATGAGTAAGTGTTGTGACTGTTAGCTGGCAGGAATTCTGGGTGATTGCCTCACTCCAGGAAACGTTAAAATAACACTTTTTTCTTAGAAAGCTGGTTCCCTCCCCTCCCATATTTTTATTTTCCTAATAGCTGCCCCTACTTTGGCGGCTCATAAACAGAGGGTTGCTTGTGTAGCCGAGTGAGAGCAGATTTGCTTGGGTGGACACAATGCCACAGAGCGGTGCACGAAGGTAGCTGGTCTCTAAGCAGATAGGCTCCTCTCAAAATGAGTCTGTCTGAAGCTTGGAAGGAAACTGTTAAGCTGTGCAAAGAATCCTGCTCCTCTCTCCGGACTCGGAGTCTGCTTCTGTCTCCCTGGGAAGAGCAGCTGCCCCAGTGATGCAGAGAATTTGAGACGAAACGTACAAGGAGGGTTTTTGTAACTGCTGTCTGGATTCCAGTAACTCAATGGGAGCTCTGCTGCCAAGCGTTGCTGGAATGTGGGCCTCCTGAGGCTGGGCTGAGCCTGTTTGCCTGCTCCTTCAGCTCTGCAAAGTTGGACGCTTCCAAGGTACTTCACAGTATTGAGGGGTCGGACTAGGGAAGTGCTGGCGGTTTGGGGGACAGATTCCTCTCCAGACCTGTTCCAGCGGAGGGTGCGCTCTCTAACTCTGCCCACTGATCAGAAAATGGTTTGTAGCCATTGGGGGGCTTTCCCTGACTGCCTGGCCTCTCCCTTTTTTGCTCCCTGAAATAGCGTTATTGCTGTTGGGAAGTAGCCATGTTTTAAAGCTTTTTCAGGAGCTGGGTTTCAGTGCTGAGCTGAGGAAGGAAAAGCTATCAAGGAGCCAACCTCGCCTGTGTGTTTGTATTGTGTAATCTTTTCTCCAGAGGGTGCTTAGAGCCCAGAGGATTCCCTCCCACCCCAGAGCCTTGTCACCTACGGCAGGCAGCCAAGGAAGGCTGGATCCTGCGCCCTTGGCCAGCTACGGCTACTCCAGGGAAATCCATGCAAGTCACTTCCCCACCTCACATGAGCGAGTGCTTCCTCTGCTGTGCTCTCAGCCCTTGCTGAACCAGCGAGTGGGACGCAGGGTAGCATAGACCTCAGGCTCTGCCAGCCAGCCCTGTAATATCCCAGCAAGCGCTAGACATCTTCGCAGATTGGGATCAGGTCGTCAGGTTCCCCCTGAGAGCACGGTGGTTAGGAAATAAAACCCTGAAGGGAGACCCACTGAAACCCAGCCTGCTCCTTTACTACTCCTATAGTAATATTTCCGCCACCTTTATTATTTAGTGGCGACTGCCTCTGTCTGGAGGTTGGTTCTGTCTTATCTATTGCAAAATAAGACCAGGGGATCAGGATAGGGGACCCGGCTTGTGCTGCTAAGAACTAGCTAAATACCGAACATGCAGTAATCCCTGGACCTTGCCTTAAACTTCAGTAACCAAGTCCGAATAAGCAAGCTCAGTTCTCCTGCCAGAGCAGTCTCCCCTGCAAGATGAAAGCAAGCTCCTTCTCGGCTCTAAATGCAACTTCAATCCCTCTGAACTTGGACATACCTCTGGGAATGGCTTTGCTACAAGGGCTCAAATAGGCGCAGTAGTTGCCTGGGGCTGTTTAGGGATTTTTCTTTGCAGAATGTTAAATGCTTTGTGTGTTTTGGCTCCTTTCTGGGCAACTGTAGAGATTGCTTTGACTGTTGTCCAGTTGGAATGTAATTCCAGGGCCTTTATAAGTGTCTGGAAAGATGCACACAGGTGGATGGTCCTGGCAGTGGCTGGGGTGTCTCGTGCCGCTTGCATCCATGAGCGTATAGATTGGGGCTGAGAAGAAGCAAGGCTATGCTCGCTAAAAGCCATATCTGCTACAACTCCATCGCGGATTCAGGGCCATCAAGGAATTTCTTAATCTCTGCCACTACCTCGTATCAAGCTGCAACTCTTGTGCCCATGTATGCAGCATACAATAGAGTATTTAGCAGGAGTGATTGGGGATTAAATGCAGGGGATACCTATGGGAAGGCAGCATATTAGAGAAGCCCTGTGTCTAAAAGCTTTAGCATGGCCCAGTGACAACAGGGTGGTCCAGTCTGTGTAACCCAAGGGAAAACCACAGCTTCAGAGTTTTCAATGACGCCCACAAAGGGCCAAAGTCTGGGTTTCTCTATGCATCGTACATCACAGTACGTAGACTTGTGTCCTCCTTGCAGCTCGTGGGAGGCTGGGCGTGCTTAAATTTTTCCAGCTTCCTTATTAAACTTCGCCTACGTGAGTTGCCTGGCAAACTCCCGGCCCTTACGGTATGTCCACACTGTAGTCAGAGGTGAAATTGCATCGTGTGGAGACGGACCTGAGAGAGCTTTAATCCAGCTAGTGCAAGTCCCAATAATGGTGAAGCTGCAGCAGCAAGGACTTCGGCATCGGCTAACTGCCTGGGTAAGTACCCAGGGTCCCAGACGGGCTTAAGCCTCCATGCTGTGGTGGCTTCGCTGCTGTTGGTGGTCTCACTTGCTAGATTAAAGCTAGCTCAGGTAGGTCAGTATATGCTGCAGTCACACCTGGTCCTTCAGTGTAGACAGAACTTTTTAAAGGTTCCCTCTAGAATACGCTGCAAGTTCCAGTGAGTGGTGGTCCGGTCTCTGTCTGTGCAGGGCAGGTGAGCCCCCCTAGGTGTGACCTTTGGTCTGACAAGGGGGTGCTGGAAATCTTGTTTACGGGTGATGTGCTAATGTTTAACTCTCCTTGTTTTTCTTTCCCTCCATTAGGCAATACTGACCAGTGCACATCTTGATAAGGTCGTCTAGCAACCTCTTCTGCAGGGCTGAATGACAGCGGGAGGGTAATTGATGAGCTTGCCCTGGGAGTCTCTAATAAATACGTGAAATCAAAACACAAGATGGGTCAGAAGGTCACTGGCGGGATAAAGACTGTGGATATGAGAGACCCTGCATACAGGCCACTCAAGCAGGAGCTCCAGGGGCTGGATTACTGCAAGCCCACGCGCCTGGACTTGCTATTGGATATGCCTCCGGTCTCGTACGAGGTCCAGCTGCTGCACTCATGGAACAACGATGACCGCTCGCTGAACGTCTTTGTGAAAGAGGACGACAAACTAATATTTCACCGGCATCCGGTGGCTCAGAGCACAGATGCCATCCGAGGCAAAGTTGGATATACGAGGGGACTGCATGTGTGGCAGATCACGTGGGCCATGAGGCAGCGGGGCACGCATGCCGTGGTAGGGGTGGCTACGGCGGACGCGCCCTTGCATTCTGTAGGGTACACGACCCTGATAGGAAATAACCATGAATCCTGGGGCTGGGACCTTGGGCGGAACAGACTGTACCACGATGGCAAGAATCAGCCGAGTAAAACCTACCCTGCCTTCTTAGAACCGGATGAGACTTTCATTGTGCCGGACTCTTTCCTGGTGGTCCTGGACATGGATGACGGGACCCTGAGCTTCATCGTAGACGGGCAGTACATGGGTGTTGCTTTTCGAGGACTTAAAGGGAAAAAACTGTATCCAGTTGTAAGCGCGGTGTGGGGGCACTGCGAAATACGGATGCGCTACTTGAACGGGCTTGATCGTGAGTATAACCCTCTGCAGCTCGTTCTGAAAGTGCAGATCTCTGCATGCCTTCCTAGCCCCGCTAAAGAGATTGAACCACATATCCGCACTCTCTTCCCAATAGCTAGTGAGCTATGTACCTGAAAACTGTGACTCGTGCAAACCGAAATGAAGCCGAAATGACTGTTAGGACTGCAGGGTCTGTTAGGGCAGCAAAGGGTCAAGGGGAGGATGGGGTTTCTACTCCAGATTAGTCTCTGCTGATGGGCTGTGTTTGGAAAGAGCAGTATTGTTTCTAACTGGATCTGGTGCAGCTACCAGTCAGCCAGATTATGTCCCTATAGCAGGGTAACCCCCACTGGTCTGGGTACACATCAGCATACGGAGCCTCCAATTAGGAAAGCGGTTTGATAGTAACTAGGTGACTGTATAGGGCGGAAAGTGTGGATTTTGGGCAGCCATGCGGAGAGGAATCCTACTGCTGGGACTCCAGCCATCTGCATGAAGTCTGTCTGGAAAGCTGATGTTCTCCTCCTCCTCCTCTTTACTGCTAGAGTCTCCATCGCCTTACTATGGATTTAGGCCAATGGACAAGGCAGAATCCTGTAGCTTCTCTGTAGCACGCTTTACCTGAAAGGTGACCTCTCCTCCACGTACTCTTTATACAGGAGAACAAGTTTTAAACTTGCTCTGCAGGCAGGTGTGTAGGGAGCTGCGCAGTCATTTGCCTGGAACCCCACCTCTTTCAGCAACTCGCTTTCTGTCCTTTTCCCTTCCAGGCTAAGGAACGCTGTTGAACAGAGTGGGGTTGGGTATTGTGGCCAGGAAAACCTTTGTAGTTCTGACGGCTCAGTGTAAACTCAGGATGGCAGTTGGTCACCAAGCTTAGTACAAGCTTCCCAAGTTCAAATTGGTTCTGAAAAAAAAGCCTGTCTGTCTCTTTGGGACAGAGGTTCCCAATTGCACCAGAATGTGACTTAGTCCATTCGGAGGAATGGCTTAATCTGGATTTGCTGCTACAGAAATTTGTCAGGTTTAATATGGGAAGGATTAGCATGTTCACCCCAAGCCCCAGAGTAGGATCTGTCTTGTATTGTTGCAAGGGATTATAGAATACTTTCTTCCTGTATTTGGGGGTAAATATACTTTCTCTTCATCAAAGCCATGCAAGGGTCACCCAGTGCAATGATGGAGCCCTTTCAGAATCAAGTGTAGTATTAATTACAATTAATGAATTATGAATTATTTAAGCAGGATAGTTCACTTCTGTAGAACGAAGTGCAAGTGCCTAATACTGCAGACTTGACTCTCCTTGCTACTGTAGCTATTAAATTAAGGCAATGGGTGGTGTTTGTATTGTAGTCCCCCCCGCCTCTCCCCCGGGAGCCCCAGTCATGGAGCAGGATTCTGTTGTGCTAGGGGCTGTACAAGCAGACCAAAAGGGACAATGTTTTTGAACAGTGAGATTTTTTTTTTTTTTTCCCCCTTCCACTCTGCATTAAAACTCCTCCTAGTTTTTGCTACCCAGGTTGGCCTGCAGAGACTGAATCTTCCAGCTTTGGTGTTTCTGCTGCTCTATTATCTAGCCAAACCTGGCAACCAATTGACATGCAGTAGGGTATTCCTGGCCTGAGACAGAGCTAGTGCTGAGTCACAGGCATTGGAGTGAAACATTTGGCCTGCCTGTTTCAATTTGTGTGTGTGTGTGTGTGTGTGTGTGTGTGTGTGTGTGTGCGCGCGCTAATTCTCACTTCTCCTAATTTGCCCTGCTGTAAACACCTACCGTTCAGTCTCTTGATTTTCAAATTTAGTGTAGAGGGGCTCTGAGCAAACCTGGCCAATGGTGCAGCTGGGTATTTAGCAAGCTCTGAGCTTTTACATGACTACAGGGACAGCTGCAGATTAAACATATCCAAACTCGTGTATTTTTACTCTATACTTTCAGTGCACTGTAGCTGAGATCTCCCTAATGACAGCCCCCCCACCCCCCCCCCCCCCCCCCCGGTACCTCTCACAGCAAAACATTGTCTTAGCTGTGACCTATGTCAAGCAAATGCTTGGCTCAGAGGAAGAGCTTTGCCCTGCACATCAGCGAGGAGAATTCCACGGCCAAGGACCCTTCCTCAAAGACTCTGCTGTTACTCCTCACTTCCAGGTGCCGTTGGTTGGAGAGAGCTTTCCAGCTAAGCCTGATGCTGTAGCAGCACTTTGGGGATGGTTAGTCTCATAGGTACCTAGGTCCCACACCGTGCGGACGTAGGTAAAGCAAAACAGGCATTTCAAATTACATCCAGGAGCAGACGGGCAGGGATTGGAGCACTAATATTGTGTATCCCTCTCCTTCTAAACAGTGATGGGACTAGACTGGTCTAATTTTGAGGTGGCCTAAATCGAGCTTTGTGACACAGGAACGCAGATTCTTGTCTGCACTGTGTTCTTGGCCAATCGCCCTATCATGTCTCTGTATCTGAAAGGAGCCTGCCAGAGGCAATGGCTGGGAATGCTTTGTATTTACTTTACAGGCTAATAAATGAGCAAGAGCCCTTCACTTGCACTGGTTCCGAGGGTCCAGGCACAGAGCAAGTGCATGTGTGAAGTAGGGAAAGGCACTGGATAAAGGTCGGATGTCTTATCTCCATGTATGAGGTGCCCCTGCAGGATGCTGGTGCTGAAACTTGGAAAATGCACACTGTCAATGCTTTCCGTATAGACCGCCTTCCACAAGTAAACACTACCACCTAAAAACCAGATGGTCCCTTAGCAGCCACTTCCTCCAGCCTCCTTGTCTCTAAACAGGCTGGCTGGGAGCATGTCCAGACGGGTGCCCAACCCTGGAGGCCATGGGATCAAGAGCTCTTGGCAGTGGTGCCCTACCACTCCAGCTCTAGCACGGCTGCTATCCAGTATGGCCTAGGGGAGGCAGTCGCACAGGTAGCTGGGTCCCAAACCCTTCAGCACCATAGGGGTGAAGCCAGTAGGTGGCCAATATAGATTGGAGTTCTCAGCACAGAACTCCCCATAGCAAGCAAACAGTCACGTTCTGTGTCTGCTTCAGTTGGAGTGGGTTCCAAGATGTAACATACCCAATATGGGGCTACTGGAGCCCAGCCTTGACCGTGGGTAACGGTAACAGTCAGAAATGGTCGGACACCAGCTACCAGGCACAGATAGAACAGCTCCTGGGTGTAGTTGTACTGGAGTACTTAGTAATGATCCTGGGTCTAATGACACCATGCTCATGAACCTGCTCCATGAGCAGTGGCTGCATTCTCTGGGTCAGCGGTTCAGATACAAGCATGGTTTGTTCTTCTGGGTGTTTAACCCGCCAACAGAAGTTCATTCCTGGCTCCTGTGGAGCTGGGTGGTCTTTACAGGACTGTTTTGGGGTTATCCACGCAAATAACTAATGTCGTTAGTGCGATTTAGCTGGATTAGTTTGCATCCAAAGCGTCTTTGAAGGCCACGGCATTGGCATGTTTCTATTGCAGTGATGCCACGGGACCCAAGGAGGAGGGTCAGGGCCCTATTGTGCTGAATGCTGTATAAACAAAGACGCAGTCCTTGCCCTGAAGAGCTTACAGGTGAAAGGACAAATGAAGTTAATTTGGATGGGGCCTGGAGCGGGAAGTAGAGAATCCAATGCACACTATGCACCCTTGCCTTTTAAAATGACTTATAAAGAGTCACGTCCCCATATGCCTCACCACGTAGCCATTAATTAGCTGATTTACCAGCACTGCACCTGAGCTGGATCTCGAGAGAAGGATTGGGACCTTCGGGGCTGGTGCAGGGGAGCCCTAGTATGGACAGAGGGGTAGATCTTAGTGGAAAGCGCAGAGACCAATCGGTGGACAAGGCTGGCATCGCTGGCTAGGTGGAGAGGCTGCGCGATGGGTGGAGGGGTGTGGGGGGGGGGGGGGGCAGAGATGTTTAGAACCTTGAAAGGAAGGGTTGGAATCTTGAACTTGTTCTGACATGCAGGGCACTGAATTTTGAAATCAAGACTGGATGTCTGTCTAAAAACTACGCCCTAGGAATTATTTCGGGGAAGTTCTCTGGCCTGTGTTACACATGAGGTCAGACTAGAGGTTCCCAGTGGTCCCGTCTGGCCTTGGAATCTATGAAGGGATTCTGTCCGAGCTGCTAGGAAAACTGCCACAGTTTTGTCAATGAGTATTGGGAGGCTAAAAGTTGGAAGCAATGGCTACAATAATCTGAAAATGGGGCGGAGGGGGTAGACCTGAATGAGAGTGTCGTTGCTCTGGACAGAAAGGGAAGGATGGATCTTAAAACTCTTATGGAGTGGGAAGCGTTGGAGGAGAGATGCAAGAGGGATTTTTTTTTTTTCTGGAATGATCCTGGAAGGGAGCACGAATGCAGTGACACTTATGGTCAGAAAATGGACTAAAAACTTTGCCTCCCATCTGTTGGCAGTGGCAGCAGGATGAACAGGGTCAATAGCTTAATTTGGCTTGTTCCAGAGGAAGCAAGCGCTGTTGGCATTAACCTGTAGTCAGCTCCTGAAAAACTGACACTTGTTGACCAAGATTTTCAAAGTCCCCATTTTGGGGTTTCCAGCTGGAGCCTGGATTTTTAGATGCTGTTGAGCATTTTTATTTATTTATTTATTTATTTTAAAATCAGACCCTCTTAAAGTGTCTAGTGAGACCGCCCAAAGCAGAGGCATGCCTAGTCACTTCTGAAAAACCTTGACCCTTATTTAGTGCTATCCAGATGAGCTTGGAAAACTTCATCACGAAAAACTCCTGAAAGTTCAGATTCTTTTCCTTATGTGCAGCTGTAACTTTGGTTCCTGCTGTCTGCCCCGTCCGAGCACAAGAAACCAGTCTTTCCTGTGGAGAACAGTGAAATATTCCTAGTAAATATTCATTTGTATTTTAATCGGTTGTGGCAGCTCGCTGAAGTTAAATTGCATCTCCTACTTGCTGTTCATGCATCTGAATGCAGAGCGTTCTTGAGTTTGGCCTACAGAATCCCAAACTTTTTCAGGGCTATGAAATTGCTTAGGTAGCAGAATTGTAACCTGGGAGGTAGGGAGATGGCAATTTGGATCTTCTGGCTCTAAAATATCAAATCTTAATCTCGACCTCCTCGGTTTCCTGGGCTCACTGTGCTGGAAACTTGGCCTTTGTAGATTCTCCTCTTCCTGAGAACTAGAGATAGCATTGACGTGTATGGAGCCATAGCTGCATATGCAATCGTTTGATATGAAAAACATTTCCCCAACTCTTCATTGCTGGGGTACTGCCGTAGTCCGTCAAACCTAACCTGAAAATGTAACTGTGGCGCTAAAATGAAGCTGGGCTTTTGACTAGCTTTTCCACATTGGGTGGGTCTTAATCCTGGTTAGTGAAGCCAGCCACTCTTGCGCTTTCTCCTTTTCTGTATTATTAAAGCCATTTTGCAAGAATCGTAGTTGCAGATCTTCCAGTAGAGCTTGTTCTGTCCCCAGTACTGGGAGCACTCTCTGGGGTCTATGACGTGGGCTTGCCCCCTTAAATATAGGTGTTGAAACCTGGTTTGCTGGGGACATTATGTAGGTGGCTTGGTTCTCATCTGCCCCCCAGACACTGAAGTCCTCACCTAGGCAAGTGAGCTCCACTCGCTCTTTGGGGGTGACTTCATGTTAGGCTTTGGATTTTTCTCAAGGTGGCTACCATTAGCCTCTGATGGAGACTGCAGTCTTGAGCTACCTCATTGGAAAATCTCCCTGGAGAGGAAACGGGCTAGAGATCTGCTGCAGTGACGGTTTTGGGGGGAGAGTGGGGGGGGGCAGGGTTGCCTGCAGAAGAGAAATTATTACTCACATCAGTGATGCATGTTCAGTGCAAACACTGGCTTTAGCAGCCAGAACACCTGCACCCTTAATCGCGTGGCGCTTGCATTTCAGGAGGTGTTAACAGAATAGGAACACTTGAGCTCCACAATGGGGGATGCCGTGCTGGCACAAGGAACTTGCCCAATCCACCAAGGATGCATAGAAAGACACCCCAGTAGAACTGGCGGTGTGAGCTCTAAATAAAGCTGGCTCACTGTTGAGGGCTATGAAACTTGCTGCATGGATACTGAACTAATGGGTGCGGGTGTATAGTCCCGTGTGGTGCTGCTGGATCAGGATTCAGGTTGAAGGTGAAATCTCTGCTGAGGCAAGCAAATCTAGTGACTTGTGAAGCTTGATGGAGCTGGCCTGTCTGTATTTTGGGGGTGGGGAGGTCAGAAGTAAGCATGTGAAGGCTTCTGGGGTGCCTAGAAATGTGAAGAACAGTACAGTGCTTTGGGGTACCTAGAAATGGTAAAATCATACTGCAACATGCAGTCCTGTGTTTAAACAGCTTTCACAAAGGTTCCCATGTTATGGCATCTAAAAACGTGGGATCTTCCCCCCCCCCCCCTTAACTGAATGCTGCTACACCTCCCTAATTACTTATAGGGGGATTCCAGGATCTCCTTTCCTGCTCTACCGTTGGTATTTCTAGGGCATGTATTACCTTCAGTGCTCGCTGCAGATAGTTCAGTTTTCGTGGCCTACTGGGACCCCCTGCATAGTAACCTAGAACTGCTGCCTCGCTTGCTGAGGGTGCTGGGTAGTCAAGGACTCCTGAACAGGCCAGGGCCTCAGTTTCTCTCACGCTCCTCTTGAGAGTGTCGGCTACCGTAACTAACAACGCAGCCACCGGGCTCTAACTCGTGTTCCGAGTTAACGTGTGGCTTTTTTGTCTTGCAGCCGAACCACTGCCTCTGATGGACCTGTGCCGGCGTTCTGTGCGGCTGGCTCTGGGCAAGGATCGACTGAGTGAGATCCAAGCGCTGCCACTGCCGGCATCCCTCAAGAGCTACCTTCTCTACCAATGACCTACAGGTTGAAGGACGCTGTGAGAACTGAAACAGAGGCAAATGATTTGGCGCTGACCCATTGGACGGTGGTCCTGCCAGCCTCCCCCCATCATCACTAGTGTTGGACATCCTCAGCCCAAGTACCTTCCTCCAATGCCAAAACCAAATATGACCTTAAAATGGCCGTTTTCAAGTATCCTTGTTTCAACGACTAAGATGACCTTTGCTGATGAAGGTCACATCACATCCCTGCATGCTTCCGAAAAAAACACCCCCAAAAACACAACCTTCCAGAATCTCTCTGCACATCCCTTGCTGCTTTCCTCCCAGCTCCTGGCAAACAGCTGTAGCGCATCCTTTGAATGCCTGAAGTCTAGGAGCAAATTCTGCCTCTTACTCTGGCTGAAGGAGAGTACATGAAGCTTGGAAAGGGAAGCGTTGAGAATGGCAACACATCAAATGCCAGGTGCTAGATGTGGAATGGCACGAGATGGGGGGCCTTCTGACAAGCAAGGACGTAAATCACTTCAATGGGAAGTGAAGACACCAAAAAAACTCCACATAGACACTTTTTTTTTTTTTTTTTTTAACTTGGATAAGGTGGTTATGTAGCTGATGTCAATGTCGCGATACTGTCTCACCCTGTCTTAACTGTTACTTTATGTAGATTGAATCTTGTTTCTTTCACCATCACTTTCCATCCCTCACTCCATTTTTCCTGCATCTTCTCTCCTCCTTTTCACTGGCTGTGACGCTAGGGGCAGATAAGGCCTGCAGTGGATGGGGAAACCAATCCATTGAGCAGCCCCTCTGATGTCTGCATCTTTCCCCCTCTTTCCTTGTGTTCACTTTAACCTGCAGCTTTTAGATCAGATGCCCGCCCCCCTCCATTGGCGGTCAGTTTCCCCTGCTACAACTCGTTGGCATGCAATATCATCCCTGGAGAGCCAGCCACTCCAGACTGATCTGTTGATTGCAGATCCTTTACAACCACAGACCTCTCCTTTCCCATGTCTGCGTCATGCATATTCGAGTCCATGTTAGCGCCCCTGAAATGGGTCTGCCAGGGAATCTTCTGCTTTGATAAGCTGCTTAGAGTATTTCAAATCGGAGCTTTTCAGTCTGCCATTGTCCATCAAGATAATCTCCTCCTTGCTCTCTGGCAGGAACGACCCTCTCTCTCATCCCTGCTAGTGGACAGAGGGACGACCCAGGAGGAAGGGTGTGAACAGTGTGTTCTGCCTTACAGTATGTCAGCAGGCCAGATGTCTAGAGGGTGATGTGATGGAAAGTAGTTTGATGGGAGGCTTAAGAGTGCTCTTCTGATGCTTTGCATGCACAGCAAAGGGAACTAGCGTGAATTACAGTCAAGAAAAGAGGGGGAGAAGAACCATTGTGAGACTTTATTATTTTTTTTTTTTAAAAGGAGAAATCCTTGCACATCCCAAATAAAGATTCTCACCTCAATAGCCAAAAAGAGAGGACCCAGTTCCCCACCGTCAACAGGAGCTGCTCTCTCCTGGCCTCTCCAAATAGCAGGCTATTAAGCTGCCTTCTCTGGGGTTATTTTGCACATTTCTTTTTTGTCTTGAAAAACAATGTTTGTGTGGGTTTTTTTGCTTCTGTTCTGTACAGGTACAAATGAGTTTATTTGTTGAAAATGTTTAATATATATTTGTGGTGTTTGTATAATCCTGTTTTAAACAGCTGCTGTAGGGTACCTTTTTAAAAAAACAAAAAAAATCTACTGGCATAGTATATTTTTTAAAGCACAGAATTGGTGCCAAGACTGGGTGGGGGTGCAGAGTGCCCCTTTTTCTTTTTTTTAATGTAACCTGGATGATTATTTTTATGTAGGGATTTGTACAAGCTTCTGTTACAGGGTGGGACACGTACAAAGTTGCACAAGAGAATTCAGCGTGTACAGAGCCTAGCTTGATTGCCTTCAACTCTACCAGCGTCTTCCACCACTCCTTCTGCCCTGTTTTTGTGCTTTTAGCCCCCCCTTTGTCTCCACTGTCTCTCTGCTGTCCCCAGTGCATTGCTTTGTACAGTTTTAAACTCTTTGCCTTCTCTTTTACAGCTGTAAATAATATTCAGTAACTCAATACAGAAATAAAGTTTATTAAATATTGAGCAGGAGTCCTGTTTTATTTGTGCCTAAGGGGGCCCTGCCAAAATCAGAGGCCAATTGTGCTCGGGTCTGTACATATACAGACCAAGAGACCTGCCCCCAAGAGTCTAGTCTGAATAGAACAAAGAAAGATGAGAGCATGAGTTATGCCCATTTTACAGATCCCATTCTGAGGCTACCCAAAAAGTCTGTGGCAGAGCTGGGAATTAAACCCAGATCTCTAATGCTATAACCCCCAGACCATCCTTGCTCTTCAGACTGAAAGGCTTCTTCCCTCCTCCCCCCCACCCTCCTTACATGCAGAGCTGTCATTACTAGTTGCACTTGTGCTTTTATGCAAGCTCATCTGGTATGGTCTTGTGGTGGTGCTCCCCTGCTGAAAGCAAGGTGCCTGGCCGTGTTGGAGGAGACGTAGAGGTGACTGGGGAACAGGGTTGTGTGGATAGGAATCTGAAGTGGTATCGGTGAAAGGCCGGAGTATCCTATTGTAGCTAGTGGAGGGGCCAGCCCCTATGCCCCCAGTGCCACACTTTTTTCTTCCATCTGACCATTGGAACCCCTCACCCTGTTCTCCAGACTCTGGGCTCCTTGCAATCCATTGCATGCTTTCTAGCAGAGGCACATAATGGACAACAGATGGCTCAGCTTTTTTGAATAGATTGTAAGGCCAGAAGGGACCATTAAATCGCCTAGTCTGACTTCCCTGGCTCATGATACGCAGTAAGTTTTACCCTGTTACCCCTGCATTGAAACCAACAACATGTTGGGCTAGAGCAGATCTTCCAGAAAGGCATCCGGTCTTTGAAGTGAAGACTCCCAAGAGTCTGAGAATCTACCATTTTCTTTGGTAGCTTGTGGTTATCATGGTAGTGTTGCACTGTTTCCACCTGTAGCAGCAGGTACCATTTGAGTTCAGGTCTCCACCATTGTTTGTCACTTGGGTTCAAGCCTGCAGCCCTCTCATTGCATGTAACTTCCTTCTGAATTCTGAGTGTGAGGAGGGCTGCAGGAGGCAGGCCAAGAGAGTGGGGATGTGATGTATGAGAATTGCAGCACTTTTGTTTCCTTGAAGCATTGGGGATCTTCCGCGAACCAGTGTGTTTAGACAACCTCATTAACTTCTAAAGGCTTATGGGACCCACATCTGCCAGTCATGCCTGGAAATCTCTACTGCACATGTGGCTGGAATGAATATCTCTGAGATGAGATGGCAGTTTTGGCAGGGAAGATTTGTTACTGGCCCTGTACTCAGTTCCTTAAAATGAACCAGGTTCACTCATAGATGCTTTTTTTAAGGCCTTAAGGGGACTGTTATCTAGGCTGACTTCCTGCATAGCACATGCCAGAGAGTCTTACCCAGTGATTCCTGTATCAACCCCATAACTTCTGGGTGAGGAAAGATGATCTTTTAGACACCTGCAGTCTTGACTTGGACTTTAAGTGACTGAGAATCCACCACATTCCTTAAGTTCCAATGGCTAGCTAGCCTCTCTTTTTAAAATGTGTGCCTTATTCACGCTGTAGTGTAAGGGTAAAGAATCACCGTGTATATGAGCAAAATTTAATGGGCAATACACCATAAATATGGGAACTTTTTTTTTTTCCCCCTCTTGGGTGGTTTGAGTGGGTTCCTGAAAGTTGCGAAGAAAAAGTGGAGGGGATCGGGAGAGGCAGAGAGGAAGAAATGGAACGAGAGAAGGGAACTAGATAAATAAAGGAGATCATGACCTATTCCAGCCGGACTCTTTTGAGGTTACATGGAAGTAGTGAGATTCCTGTTTCTCCTCATTGATTTAAATGAGGGTCTTTTGGATGGGGTGGGAAAGCTGAAGAGCAGTGCCCTGCCCCTGCAGGTTAATGTAGCACATGCCCTTGATGCAGGGGACTGATGGCTCTGGAATCTGTAGCGGGATGCACAGAGCCTCTTTCCTGTAGGCTGTTCACTCCTACCTAGGTCAGACCTGGTGGCGATGAACTGAGACCATTTGCCATTAGATCTGTCTGGTATAGAAGTCATTGCTGTTGGAGGCCAAAGATTTAATTTGGTGGTGGAATCTGAATAACCCTCTTAAGCCTGGTGGGCCTCCAGGTCAAGGCTGACGCTTTTGCAAGGGGCAGTGGGTGGAAGTTTACACTGCCTCTGCCCACACAATACACTGAGGCCTTTCAGCTACAGGGCTCTTAACCTAGCACCTTTCACCAGTCCGAGCCGTTCCACTGATTTTTGACTCGAAGCACCAATGGGGATGCAGTTGGTATGATCAGTGCCCACCCCTCCCTGTGACTGCTTGAAATGACACTACATAGGCTTTGGGGAGAGGTTTCACTCTTTTTGGAAAGAAGGCCCTGTCTAAAGGAAGTAGTTCCATGGTCCCGGAAGTGGCATCTTGCAATGCCAATGCCGTGGTGTTCGGGGTGGTTGCTCTGTCTAGTCCTTTGTAGGATTCTATAATGGCTACAGGGTGACCTTAGCTAATATCGCAGTTTTTCCCTGGTAGACTAGTGTGTATGTGACTTACTGGGCTGGGGTTGAGAGCACCTGTACTAATCTGGGGCAAGCCTTGCACCCTTTTGTGAGAGGGAGCACACCAGTACTGTAGCTACCAAACTGGGCGGGGTGGGTGCGAGAGGAAAACGACCTCTTACAATTCCAGCCTGGGGAAGGGGGTCTGTAAAACTGAGCTCCAATCAAGGTTGCAATACACCAGAAACCGCTTCTGCCCTGGGCAGAGGGCAAATGCAAGATAAATGAGGGGTGTGAGGGGAGGGGGCGGGAACCCTCAGTGCCATCTCTTTCTATTTAAAGGAAAGGGCTAGTGAAATGATGCTAAGCGAAGGCAGCCTGCTCACATGGTAGCAATTAATCTCTGCATCTTTCTCATGCTGCAGGTAGCGGGGATTCGAAGAGAAATATTAATTTCTGACCATATGTGGGCAAAGCTTGCCTCCCTTGCAGCCTGTCCCATCAATGTTCTATGGAATGTGAGCTCTAATGAGCCATAAACTATACGGGGAGGGGCACAGCAGTGGGCTGGGGTTGTGGGGACAGAAGGTGGAGCGGGTGCCAAAGACTGAGAAATTTGTTCATGCTCCGCTCCAGACACCCAAACAGGCTCGTGTTCCAGCTGCTGGGAATATTTGAAATAAATGACCTGCTCGGGGCCTGGAGTTTGCAGTGTTTATGTACATCGCCTTAGCAACCATGCAGGAAGTCATGAGATGTGGACTGGACCTGGTGGAATCAACAAATGATGTCACGGATTAGCAAATCCTAATGAATCCGTGGAGCCCTGTTTCCACGGCTGTCGCATATGCTTGGGTCCTGGCCTGCAGCAGCCAAGGCTCCCACCTCTGAAGAGCATGAAAATTACAAGTCCCACTTGCATCAGGGCCTCCTTTAAAGCCAATCCTGGCTTGCTGGCCAATATCACTTGTCTCCCTTCTATTGCTGACTAATCACGTTCATCTGCACGGAATTTTGCCTTCCCATTTGATTGCAGTCTATCCTGCTTTGCTCTCTGTGACGCAATCCAAGGTATCTGACGCTCCTCTCCCCAGAGATGTCCTGTGGTGATCTCTGAAAGAATCTGAGATATCCTGATGATAACCCCTTCTCCTTCCCCCCCAAAAAAAACCCCATCCCCAGAAGTAACTTACAAGTCCAGGGGAGTGTTTTGCCATGGTGGTAAAATAGCTATCGGCACAGATGCAGGGCTTTAGCTGTCAATGTCCAAGCTACTTAGGAAAGGAAGCTCAAGTCTCATCCATAAGGAGGGGCAGAGGGGTTGTGGTTTGCCCGAGGTCATAGTGATTCAGCATGGAGTTGAGAATACAGCCCAGTCCTGGGTACCCATCAGTGTCCTTTCCGCTCTGCCATGCAGCCTCCCTGCACTGTAGAAAGCTCCCAGCATATCCAGCTGGTAGGCGCAGGGGTGGCCACAGGGGCTCCATGCGCTGCCCCCACCCTGAGCGCTGGCTCTGCAGCTCCCATTGGCTATGAGCCACAGCCGGTGGGAGCTGTGGGAGTGGTGCCTGCGGGCAGCACACAGAGCCCCCTGGCCCCTCCACCTAGGGGCTGCAAGGATATGCTAGCTGCTTCCAGGAGCCGCACGGAGCTAGGGCAGGCAGGGAGCCTGCCTTAGCCCTGCTGCGCCACCAACCAGGAGCCACCTGTGGTAAGCGCCGCCCGGCCGGAGCCCGCACCCCAATCCTCTGCCCCAGGTTGGAACCCCCTCCCACACCCCAATGCCCTGCCTCAGCACTGAGTCCTTTCCCACACCCAAACTCCCACCCAGAGCCTGCACCCCGTACCTCCTCCCGCACCCCTGCCCCAGCCTTGAGTCCTCTCCTGCATCCCAAACCCCTCATCCCCAGACCCACCCCAGAGCCCACAGCCCCTCCTGCACCCCAACCCCTGCCCCAGTTTTGAGCCCCCTCCTACACTCTGAACCCTTTGGCTGCAGCCCGGAGCCCCCTTCTGCACCCCAAACCCCTCATTCCTGGCCCCACCCCAGAGCCTGCACCCCCAGCCACAGTCCTCATCTTCTCCTGCACCCCAATCCTTTGCCCCAGCCCGGTGAAAGTAAGTGAGGGTGGGGAGAGTGAGTGACAGAGGGAGGGGGAATGGGAGTGAGCGGGGATGGGGTCTTGGGGAAAAGGGGCAGGGCAAGAGTGTTTGGTTTTGTGCGATTCGAAAGTTGGCAACCCTAACTAGGGTCTTGGCCCAAAGGGAGTAACCCTAATTCCTTGTTGTAGATGGGGAACTGAGGCAGAGATTCAGTGACTTGCACAAGGTCACAGAGGACATTCAGTGACCGAGCTGAGAACTGACTGCAAATCTCCTGAGTCCCGCCCCATGCCTTAACCACAGCCAGCCTTCCTCTGCTGACTGCTGCAGTGAATGTTCCAATTTGGGTGCAAACAGGTCTTCTCTATTGAGTGAGTGAAGCTGTTCTGAAGCTAGGAGTGAAAATGATCCCCTAGTGTGCTCCCCCATCCTATA